TAATTAAAAGAATTTTCATGCGTGATTTAGCAAGAGGACTCGCATGTGTTGATTCACTTGAAGAAGGACAACAACAAGATCAAAATCTGGAATAAGTATCCATAGGCAAAATGAATCTGTATTTGCTTTACCTATATTTGCTTTAAAGGAAGTAAAGGAGGAAGATGGAAAGGAGGAATTTTGAGGAAATCTGAAGTGCCTTGAACTGGGCTCAAAACAATAGCTTTGTGTCATGTAGCATCACAAGCTTTCAATATTTTTTTTTAAACAATGAAATCCATTAAATAATACATTTACATCAGTCTCAGCTTATTATTTACTCCAGAAAAATCTTCATAGACTATAGGACATCATATTTTCCTTCTTTTCAGTACTATGAGTTTGTGAGCGCACTGTAATATTTTATACTCATGTAACTACTTTTATGATTGTATTATTTATTTAGCACTCATTAAAATATTCTTATCACTCTGAGCATTTCAGCATTCTTACATCATAATAACCTGAATAATTGTATGTTCAGTAATGTTTGTCCATTGAACCTGAAGAAGCTAGTATGCATCAGGAGTGGTAAAGAGAAGCAGGGAAAGATCCTAGTTCAGTGGTTGATATATTTACTGAAGTACTTCCTCCACGTTAGCAATTCCTACCTCCTAGGTATTAGTAGATTTAAAGCACAATTTAAAGCAACCAATGCATACAGAGGAATTTGTATTCCATTTTAGGAACTTATTCTGCTTTAGCTTATAGAACAGGGGAAAACATTGTGAAGAAATATACCACCGTGCATTTCCAGATGGTGTGGTGTCATGTTACGTTTTTGCATGAAAGAGATCAAACCCACCTCCCAATCCAGAGAACCCTAAATCTGTATGTTTATTATTATAGTTTGGTTAATTGGAAAACATTCTAAATATATACTGAAATTATGTATGGCCTGATTTCAATAAATATCAGAAAAGAGAGATTCCTGGCAAACCTGGAGATCTGTATTTTGAACAAGGAGTTTGCCAGATAGCTTTTCATAATCTATAAACAAGTTAATGAGTTACTTTAGATAACGTACTGAACTGGACCTGGTAGAACATTACAAAATAAACCACTGGAATAGCAAAGCAAACTGCTTTATTTGGTGGACCTCACGGTTTCCAGCGTAACCATTTGGTAAAGTGTAATATATCAAAATTAGTGTGTTGACATTCATTAATAAAGATGTGTGAAACTTCAAAACGGTAGCAAAGAAGAGAATCTCTTAGTTTTTCACTCTTTACATTGCACAAGAATATTTTATTTTTTCATAAGCTTCTTATTACTCCTTTCTCCCATTACCAGTAAAAAATGTGGATAACCTTTTGTACAGGGGTCTGATCTGATCTAAATTCCAGTTAAATCAGTTGAACTTGCATTGAATCATTCTTCCCACGCCTAGCAGGGCACTTTGCAGACATGTAGATGACAAAGTCCTTCCTCAAGAAGCTTAGTCTAAATTAGACAAATCAGTGAACAGCAGCAGACCATACTAAGAGGGAAGATAGGGAGGGTCAACAGCAAAGGGCAGCAAGAGTATAAACTGATTGCCTTAGCCATTTTGTTTAAAATCTCTAATGTACTGCTTTTTTCACTCTCTCTTTTTAATTCAATATAGTCAAAGAGATAGTGCCAGGATGGAGATTAGCAGTGGGAAGTTAGTCAAAAAAGTGAGCCCTGAGGAAAGATTTGAAAAAGAAGACGGATTAAGGTCTTCTGAGTCTGCTTGGCGCACCGAGAGGTCGGCTGAGGTGGTGAAGAAGGAACGGCAGCTGACACATCCTCTTACAAGCTCCAGAAGGGCAAGGAAACCTACTTTTACTTCCTCTAAACGCTTATTTTCGTACCAAGATAGTACTGGCAGACTGGGGACGACTTTTTTTTAACTGAGTCCCATATTCTCTTACTGTTGTGCTATATTAGTATATGAGTACCCAGTGCTATTGATTGACACGC